TCCAAAAGGGGAAGGGGAGTAGACAGGGCAGATGAAGTTGGGTAACAAAGTGTGATGAGTGGAGTAAGGGGGTGAAGAATTAGGAATGATACAATGGGGACCTGAAAAAATAGGGTAATAAGAGGCATGGATCAATGGTGTTTAATTTTAGAAAACAAAATGTATATGAATGACCATATGAAACAATGTGAATGAAGAAATGTGTGGAAAAATAATGTCCACTAAAGAACAGAAGGTATATAAATTTTATATGCAAACCTATATAAAATAATTTTCTTACAAAATATGTACAGGAACAACTACCACATACTAACATAAGTACAGTAGTCGGACTAATCTTTGGTTTTGTAGTGAGCACTGTGTTTGAAAAATCAAGATATATAATTTTAAATTTAGGATGCTGCTACTTCCTTAAGTATATATTTTCAATTGCTTTTATTTAGTATTAAGGCATTAGCAACCTAGGATCATGCTAATCCAGGGTTAGTGTCTGAGATTTTCTCAATCACTGAAGACTCAAAGCCAGGTTTCAGTATGTATGAAGTCTACTTAGTCTTTTTGTCATCTTAGGGCAATTTAAGGATCGTTCGTCAATATAAAGTTGGTTTCCTCCTTGTAAACAACATCCATTTCCCAAGGCCTTTGCTTGTAGATAATAGAATTGGGCAATTACCAATCTCTAGAAGCTGTCTTGGGAATACCTCCCCAAGGGTTCTCCCAAACTAATAAATAGGCCTGAAGTTGTTCTGGTTCCGTTCCTTCCTTTATATTCGAATGTGGGATCTCAGCATCATTTCTAAGGTTGCCTATCGGCATCAGATTCTGAGGGTCTCAGATCTCCTATCAACAAACTTTATTCATTCTCCTTTTTCTCAGGGACATAGATCCAACCAATTCACCTGTGTTCTACTCTTGTCCTTTTCTGACCACAAGTCCTAAAACCCTATTCAGAAAGCAATGCCCTGGGGTTCTTTTATGTCCTGATTGGCTTTTCAAATGAGATGGAGACGAACAGAGGCCACAGAACTAATGAACTCTGAAAGCAGCACAGGACATCCTGGTAAGGTGTGAGATCTCAAGATCACTCACTCTTTCTTCACTTTCTTCTCTCTTCTCTAATAACTCTGTCACAACATACTCAGAAAAGTCTACATACAAATGAACTTCTTCATGTTTACCAGTAATATAATAATTTCTCTCATCTTTTCAGAATTCTGCAGTTGTCAAAGTATTTTTACACACTCCCCTAGATCTGGGGGACATGAGCAAGATTCTCCCTGAGTGACACCCCCTGCTCCAAGGAAGTACAAGTGCTCAAGGAGCATTTGATAACAAGAGAACGCACTCCCAGGTCCTTCTAGCTTGTCTCTCCTAGAGCAAAAACACCATCTAACAAGCTAACAGAGGATCATGGCAAGTTACAGTATAATCAGTACTTCACACCAAGCCTCTGTTTACATGTGGGGACTGGATCAACACAGACATCCCACCTCTGTACTTTCCCAAAACTTAGACTCACACATAATAGGGGACAAGATAAAAAATGCTAAAGTTCTGCTTCTCCCTTAAGAAAGTTCTCTAATTGGGAGCTAGAGCGAGGGAGTCTTGCAGTAATCTACAAGGAAGTCTTCACCTCACTGATCTGGAATGTGACAAGAACAGAGCCAGCTTGATCCTTATGCCAAAGACTCACCTTTCTTACCAAATTTTCCAAAAAGCTTCTGATGAGACGTTTCTCCATTTGTTGTCTTCTTGTAGGACGATTCCAAAGGGAATTTAATGGTTATTTTATAATATCATTTTCATCTATTTTACTGGGGAGCAGATCAGTGGGGCTTCTAATGTCATTATGCTGGACATTAATCATTTACTCCATTATATTCCAGTTTTGTGAAGCATTTTCACCCAAAGCAAGTTTCTTTGACTTGGGATTAATGTTTTTTAACAGATACAATGCATCCCTGAAATTGAGGTCCTAAATTAAATTGTCAAGGCGATTATTTTACTGACGATTTGAAGTGATGTCCTTTTCTTGGATTATTCAGAATTGTCAGATGACTGATATTTTAATCCATCTGTTTTCAAATAGGCAGGTTGAGATTTACTGTTTCCTTAGAGGAAACAGAAAAGAATTTCCTAAAATTAAATATTATATATTCTGTATATGTTATACATTCTAAGAAGAGAAGAGAAATAAAATCATGAGAGAATAAAAGAAAATTATCCCAAAATGAATAAGGATATAATTTTTATTGTAACAAAGACATAATAAATCTGGTACATTAATGAAGAAGAAAAACCACTACTTGAAGCATGTTAAACTGTTTAATAGATATTTTTTAAATAATATAGGCAGAATTATAAAGCTACTCACAAAGGGGAAAAATAAATAATAAGCAACACCACTGACTTGGGAGAAGTTCCCTCAGCAAATAATTGGGAGAATAAAAATGAGTGAGCACGGAAAAAAAACAACCTGCATGTTCATCAAATCTATACCAGTGGTTGTTCCACCAGTTTTGAATCTACTTCTTGAATTCGAACCACCGAAGAGGTGCAGCCTTTGACCTACAGCACAAGGCCTACAGACTAGGCCACCTGGGCTCCCTTATAACACAAAGCCTAAATAAAACATTAGGTGATTCATTTCAGTAATTTATAATGAAAATGCAAATACGGCTTAATGTAAGGAAAGTCATTCACAGTATATCCATATGTGTGTTGTGTGCCATTAAGTCAGAACTGGCTTATAGCTGACCATCCAGTGGGTTTTCAAAGGCTGTAAATCAATTGTATGGGAGAAAACTGGCTGTCTCTGCCACGGCGCAGCTGGCAGGTATCCACATAGACATTGAAAAAGCATTTGACTAAAAATAAGAAGTCATACTTGTTGTGTTGGGTTTGCCTTTTTTTCAAGGAAAAAAATACTCTAAGTAAAATAGGAATACTGGTGGCACAGTGGTTAAGTGCTCAGCTGCCAATGAACAGGCGAGCAATTCAAACCCACCCAGAACTAGGCAGCAAAAGGATGTAACAGCTTCCAAAAAGAGTATCACCGGTGTACATGAATGAAATAAAAGGTAAAAGAACTACTGCATGAAAATAACAACAACACATAAAAAATAATAAAGTGGGGAGAGAGAGAGAGATGAAAAGTGGGGAACTAGAGATGATAACTGGGATGATGGAGGCTGGGGCCGGAAGAAAGAGCGGGGAGGAGGTTCAGTGGGGTCTTGAGGACAATGTGATAACAGACATGGATAGATGATAGTTAATTATATGAAGTACAGTGTGTGTATAATTGATGTGTGGACCACAATGTGCATGGATAAAGTGCAGCGTGCATGTAAAGGTGATTATATGCAAATAGATTTTAAAAAGTAAACAGATTTTCAAACGTGCAATATAAATGAACACTGGATAATGTGGATTTAGAAAGCATGTAATTCCTCCTTGAGCCAGTACAGATTTGAAATACTTACAAGGGAAGATTTGCCCTTTAACAAGATAACAAATTATCTTGTTAATAGCAGAATTTGGTAGTAGGTGTTGGGGCTTTGCCAAGTGGATTGAGTCCCACTCAGTATTCTGAGGAGATTTGCATCTGAATAGATTTTTGAACCCACACTGGACTTGTTGTGGTTTTTAAATTTTTAATACTCATTTATTTACAAAATTAGAATTCACTGTTTTCTAGAACAGATTCTTCCAATTTCCCTCACCCCCTCTGTCAAATTGTACAACTCCATGATTAATCCCCCCTCCCCCTGCACATCCTCATCCCTCTGCTTCCACCCTCTCCCCCGTTTGGATCCTTATACGCATTCTACAATAAAGGCTTTATACAATATTTCTCCTTGTGGCACTGAGTTACTTCACTCAGTATAATGCTCTCCTGTCCCTCCCAAGTTAGGTAATAATATACAAAATCATTGCTCCTGTGTACCGTGTCATATTCCATTGTGTGAATGTACCATAATTGGACTTTTGGGTGAAGAGAGTCTCATTTGAAAGAAGGGCAAGCAGGAAAGAAGGAAAAAGAAAAAAAGGGAAAGAAAAGTCTATCGTTTTACAACTGGAACAAGCTTTTTGGCTTCTGAGGCTGGGTAAAGTTGGTACTCAGCAGAGACCACACTTCCAAGACTTGAGGTTGGAGTATGCTCACATAGCTATCACCTGGGTCGACAGGTGTGGCTATGGGAGAAAGACAACAATGGAGAAATAGACTGAACTTGATGTATTCCTTCAGCACCACCCACATAGGGAAGGGTTGTTAGCTTGAGGAGCAGGGAGTTATGAGGTCCCCTGGCTGATTGACCTGACTTGACCCCATGTGAGGGCTTAAAGCTAAGTGAGGAGACCAATAAATGTGGGACGCAGTGAGAAATAAGGGCTCCTGAGCTTGCAACTGATGTCCATTTGAACCTAGCCACGGATGGTTGGGGACAAGCTGACCCAACCAGATGAAGAGAAGATGATACATGCTGTGAGCTAGGGTTGAGTGCTGCAGTCTCATGGCTTGCTCTGGGCTGGACTTTGCTTGTACACGCAGATGCTCAAAGTTTCCAAGCTGAACAGAGCAGAGTGGACCAGCACCTTTCCAGTATTACCTTTGTGGACTAGCTGAACAATACCCGTATCTTAAAATGCATACACTATTGAAATGTCATTTTAAAACCTTTACAGAAACATAATACAGAAAGGTAATTTATAACCTTTAAACAATTTCACAGGTATTATATAATGATACGACTTAAAAAATAAGTACTTTTACTGCAATACTTAGCATGCAATATCAAAATCTGTTGGGATACTTAAATTGTATAAAGAATTCCCATTTGAGGTTTATTTTTTCTTTGTTACTTATTTGAAAAATAGGTAAAGTCAGGCATAAGGTATTTTAAATGTCAAGAAATCTTGATTTTGCTTATAAGAATAGGCTTTAATTGAGGGCTCTGTTAAATATTTGTTGGTACTAATGTTGGCAGATTGCTGTGGAAATGGATGGAGACAACCAGACTGGAAGGTCCGAGTTCCTCCTTGTTGGACTCTCAGAGGATCCAGGGCAGCAGCAAGTCCTGTTTTGGATGTTCCTGTCCATGTACCTGGTCACTGTGGTGGGAAATGTGCTCATCATCCTGGCCATCAGCTCTGACTCCCGTCTGTACACACCCATGTACTTCTTCCTGGCCAATCTCTCCTTCACTGACCTCTTCTTTGTCACCAACACAATCCCCAAGATGCTTGTGAATCTTCAGTCCCAGAACAAAGCCATCTCCTATGTAGGTTGTCTGACACAACTTTATTTCCTGGTCTCCTTGGTAGCCCTAGACAACCTCATTCTTGCTGCAATGGCCTATGACCGCTATGTGGCCATCTGCCGCCCCCTCCACTACACCACAATCATGAGCCCTAACCTCTGTATCTTGCTCTTAGCCTTATGTTGGTTCTTTTCTATCCTCTATGGCCTCATTCACACTCTCCTCATGACCAGGGTGATTTTCTGTGGTTCCCGGAAGATCCACTACATCTTCTGTGAGATGTATGTCCTACTGAGGTTAGCATGTTCCAACACTCAGGTCAATCACATAATGCTAATGGCCACTGGCTGTTTCATCTTCCTAATCCCCTTTGGATTCATGATTGTGTCATATATTTGGATTGTCAAAGCCATCTTCCGAATACCCTCCACCTCCAGTAAGTACAAAGCCTTCTCCACCTGTGCTTCCCATCTGGCTGTGGTGTCACTTTTCTATGGAACACTTTGTATGGTCTATCTGAAGCCCCTTGACACCTATTCCATGAAGGACTCAGTGGCTACAGTGATGTATGCTGTGGTGACACCCATGATGAACCCTTTCATCTATAGCCTGAGGAACAAGGACATGCATGGCGCCCTTGGAAAACTCCTCTTAGGGAAAGCTTTTCGGAGGCTGACATAAGGGTAATTTTGGAAAGAGGGCATTCAGAGACGGAGAACTCACTCCACTATATGGAAAGAATTAGCCTGTGAAGTACCTATGAGTGATTAAGGATATAGATTCAGTACAGAAAGAACTTGTAAATCAGTGGTGAAAAAAACTCTAATAAATGTAATGCAATGTCCCCCAGACCTCACCAGTCTTGACCATAAATATGGTCACATTAGTTACCAGAATTTTACCAGATCAAAGCCAGTTACCCAACTACAGGGCCATAATGTCATTGTCTCATACTTATCAAATATACTCAATTGCTAAATGAAATAGGATGGTCTCTTGTGTTCTCTTGCACAAGTTTACTCATGTCCCTGCATTCTAGTCTCCTCTAAGAAGTCTTCTGTATGTAAGCTATTATGTAAGCATAAGGAAGTAGTTACCTCATGCTTCTTAAGCATTATGGTGTTTTTGGAGGCAAGGATAGTGAAACTTCATCTCACATACTTTGGGCATGTTATTTGAAGGAGCCAGTCCTCGGAAAAGGACATCAAGCTTGGAAAGGTGGAGGGTCAGCAAAGGAAGGAAAGACCCTTAACGAGATGACTTGACACAGTGACTATAAAGAGTGATGAGTCAGAGATGGTAAGGATAGCACAGGATAAGACAGCGTTCAAATCCATTGTTCACAGGATTGCTATGAGTTATGACTAACTTGACAGCACTTAACAATCCTTCTGTTGTGCTGTGATTGTTATATGTCCTTGAGTACAACTCAGTGACCCTGTGAACGACTGATCTGAACCCTGTCCTATCCTGTGCCATCCTCATTTTCTCTGACACACTCAAGTCCATTGTTGCAGTCACTGTGTCAAATCCATCTCACTGGGGATCTTCCCCTCCTTTGCTGATCATCCACCTTTCCAAGCATAATGTCCCGTTCCAAGGATTAGCTTCTCCTAGTAACATGCCCAAAGTATGTGAGATTATGTTTTACCATCTTTGCTTCCAGGAAGCTTTCTGACTGACTGCACTTTTCCAAAACATATCTGTTCTTTTGGCAGTCCATGGGATAGTCCATACTCTTCAACAACACAATTCAATGGCATCGATTGTTCTGTCATCCTTATTCACAGTCTAACTCTCAGAGACATAGCAAATGATTGAAAATTTCTACCTTAAAAAGTATGTCCCTTTTATCATGTTCTGCTTGCAATTCCTGCTGCTTCAAGTTGACCTGTGTCCCCTCTGAACATAGTACATGACAGAAATTTCAAGTGTTCCTTATCTTTCTTTTAGGTTATGTTTCTGTCCTCTGGTTTCAAAATAATTCTACCTGTGGCTTTCTTCTATATTTCTTTTTGCGGTAAGAAATTTGATTTTGTCTTCACAAAGCTTACTTAATTCTTTCTATGACTCCTTATCTCTCATCTCTTCTTTATGCAAAAAGTCCACTTAAAATAAAACTTGAGCCTATCTCATGAATAAGTGTGATGCTGGCAGTAGTAAAGATGGTGGAGGAAACCTTTACATAATTGAATTGATACAAAGTGATGTCTATTGATTTTTGGAACAGTCTCTGGGGCTGTCATGGTTTGAAAGAGGAAGTAATCATGTTTAGATGAATCAGTACTTGACCTAGACTTTGAAGAACAAGGAGAGTTGAACTGATGTGAGACTGAGAGGTTTCTGTCCATTAAGTTACTCATTCATTCAACTGATAATAACAGAATACCTATATGATACCTTAAATTTGGTTCCTAACTTGAAGATGAAGTTCAAATCTACAGGGGAAATAAACAATGATTACAGTAAACATAAATGGATAGAGCTCATCAGAAAGACAATGTTTAATTGATCAAATAGCACTGTTATTTAAAAGATACAGTTGAAATCATAAGAATATACAAAAGTTAAAAAGAAAATCCTAGAATCAGATGTATTAGGAAAGATACTACTTGGGGGGAAAATGATGTATACACTTATGACATAAGACAAAAGAAACTCAAGGCAAAAAGCATCATTAGAAATGAGAAGTGCTACCTTGAAGCAAATGTGACATTTTCATTATACCTGTGAAGCAGTTGGGACAATAATCTGCATCTATGATTTGCATCCAGGCCTCCTAAATTTAAATTGAAGCCTTGGGCTCAAATATTCCTTGATAAAGAAAAACTGGTAATGGGCCCTAGCTCACTCTCTTAACCTCTCCATGTCTCTCCCCAACTTCCTTCTTGTTAGTCCAGGTTCTCCTCCTCCCTGCCCTGTTCTGGGACTGAAGTAACTTTCTCTGTTCTTACTCTTGCACAGCCACTTTTTAGAGCCTGGCCAACAAACCATGCACCCCAGGAGAGGCAGTTTCTTATCATGGCTTTTAATGCACTGTATCAATAATCTCTTCCCATCCAATTCAGTATATGCTCTTCTAATTTGTACTATATAAAATCCAGACCCTAGATCTGTTCTCACCCCTTTGTTCTCACCCCTGGAGCATTAAGAGGAATATAAATAAGTGACCAAAAGCATTCCCATCTTGGACAGGAGCCTTCTGGGAGACCCTAACTCTTGGTAAACCCTATCCCATTTATTGACCGACTGGCAGGAAGTTGTGCTGCAACCCCAGAGGTGCACAGTTCAAATCTACCAGCTGCTCTGTAAGAGAAAGATGGACAGTTTCCTCTTGTGTGATTAATTGCCTCTGAAAACCCCAGTAGCAGCTTTTTACAAGTAAAGATTTGTGCTGCCAATCCAAAGGCTCATGGTTTGAATCCATCAGCTGCTCCGCATAAGTAAAATAGGCAATCTGGACTGCGTGGGTGGCATCAGCTGCGCAGTGGCCTGAAGGTGGGATCCCGGGTCAGGACGCGGGAGAGGCGTGGCTTCCCCGCTTGATGGGCGTCCACTTCGCATGCTTCTCCCTCATCAGCGTCGCCTCCTGCTTCAAAATCAAACCCCGAGGCCGCCTGCAGTGTATCAGTGACCGACTTGTCTGCAGCCCTCAGGTTCTTCTGTGTCTGGAGGCAGCGCGAGTCCCAGCGCACACATCTGGGGCCACTCCTCACCCCCCAGCCCTCTATGCTTAACCTGCTCAGGGGTCTCAAAAAAAAAAGACAGCATGGCTACCCCGCCCAAGAGATGCTGCCCTTCGCCTGAGACCAGCTCTGAGGGCACCCACATCAAGAAAATCTCCGTCGACGGGAACATCCATCGCTGCTGAAAAGTGAACTTTTGTGAATATCCTTAATCAAGTCTGTGAGGATTGGGAAGTCGTTCCAGAACCTATTGCTAGGTGGTGCAATGTTCAAAACACTCAAGATGAATTTGAGGAACTGACATCTCGGAAAAGTGGTGGCAATGTCCTTCAGATGATGTATGAGAAACCTGAGCGATGGTCTTTCACCTTCGAGTCCTACACCTGCCTTAGTTGAATACGAGCTCAACTTGCCTCTCTCAATGGAAGACTCAAAGATGCTGAGAAACCAGTATTATTTTTTGAGCGAGCTGTGTATAGTGACAGGTATATTTTTGCATCTAATTTATATGAATCTGACTGCATGAATGAAATAGAATGGACGATTTATCAAGACTGGCATGACTGAATGAATAACCAGTTGGCCGAAGCCTTGAACTGGATGGAATAATTTATCTTCAAGCCACTCCAGAGACATGCTTAAATAGAATATATTTATGAGGAAGAAATGAAGGACAAGGCATTCCTCTTGAATATTTAGAGAAACTTCACTATAAACATGAAAGCTGGCTACTGCGTAGAATACTGAAAACCAACTCTGATTATTTACAAAAGATACCTATATTAACATTGGATGTTAATTAAAGACTTTAAAGACAAACAAGAAAATCTGGTCAAAAAGGTCAAAGAATTTTTGAGTGCTTTGTGATCTTGCTGACCACTACAGGCTCCCAGTTATTTCCAGGCACTTGAGTTTGTCTACTTTCTGTTTCCATATTTATATATGTCTCTTTAAAAAGGCAACTTTTCAACCATTTTTACTGCGCAAAAAAAAAAAGACTGCTTTTTTTAAGTGAATCCTATGTAAAAGGTTACTGTTAGTTACTTAACTGGAAGTTTTATGTTACATAGTAAAACATGGCATTATTAAAAGTTAAATTTAAGAAAAAAACAAAAACAAAAAAAGATAGGCAATCTCCTCCTTTCAAGCCAATTTACTGCTTCTGAAACCCACTGGAGGGTCAGCTATGAATTGGTCCCAATGCCACAGTAAATAATAACAACAACAGTAACTATAAGTAATAAAATCCAGAGACCACATCAGTGAGTAGGGTAATTATTCATCCAAAAGCCCTAAACTGCCTGTCCATGACCCTTATCTATGTGTAAACCTTTCTTTCTCTCTTTTTAAGTCAATCAATCATGCATCTCTGTTCCATATCATTAATTACAATACACACAATATTTGATTGTCCATTCATTCTACACTATTTATAAAAGGAGCAAGGATGGTGTGGGGACAACCAAGTTCAACCCCTACTAACTCCGCAAAGGGGAACTGTCCCCATCAACAACATCCACAGAACTAAAAGGTCAGACATAGTCCACCAAGCTCCTGCATCTACTTCTACTAATCACTGGACCCAACATTCATTGCAAATGACCACACAGACTTTATATCTTTTTACTCACAGTTATGGAGTGTATTAGGGAAATAGGTTGGAGTGGGGAAGGCAAAGGATATCGTGCAGTGAGAGTCCAGGTTCAGTACAGCAACACAAATAGAAGCCTCTACAGTTAGCAGCTTCCTGTCAGCAAGCAAAACTTCTGGCTCTGGTTTCATTTCAAAGACTCTGGCCTTGCTTCTGTCTGCCTACCACAGTCTGTATGCCTTGCCACAGTCTCACTTTAGTCTGATTAGCTCTCTTTCTTATGTTGGCCTCACAGCTGTCGATGATGTTTAATACACCAACCAAGGGCAAACCACATGTCCACAGTTGAGGCAGCTAGAAACCAGGCCCCCACAGGAGCTAAGAATGGTGAGGGGAGCCTCAAA